TTTCTGATTCTTCTGCATATGCTGTCAGTATTGCTTTCTTTCAAGTCTGTTTATAACTTAATTTAATTTTAGGAACATCGATGATGATCTCCAGCCAGCTCTCAAGGGCAACTTAACCTTCAATGCAGTATTTCAACAAGTAGTTCAGTGAAGAAAAGAAATGTCCTACTTTTTAAAAAAAAAAAACGATCTTATAGAAACTGCAGACAAGTGTTGAATACGAGCACATAAAGCACCGTCTGTGCGTACACGCAGTCACAGTCTGCTTGGAAATCGGGGAGGGAAGAGTTGTAGCACAAGCCTCCAGTGGAAAAGTTTGAACTCTGTCCTCCACGCGCTCACCTTTGCACAACACATTTGTCCAAATTTGCAATTTGGCACATGCCTTTGCAGCGTGGCAGAAGTAAACATTATTCCTATAACTGACGTAAAATTATACATGCAAAAATTATAGAGAACTTTCTTTTGAGCGAGCCTGTTAATGCACGAGGCCTCGTTTTAGCTCAAATAATCACCAATAGCGTGCGGCATAAAATAGCCTTCACAGCTATTAGCTCCAGTTTGAACAATGTCAAATGGGTTTGTAATGACTTTGAAACCAGGCCAGGTGCTATTGACAGACTCACTCAGTGGAAAGGGTCCCACTGCTTTGATAGGGTGCTGACCGCCTTTCACAGTAGATGCGATGGGTGTGTGTAATGAGCAGTTGTGTTTCAGGATTTATAATAACTGGAGATTGTCACGCTGTTGTGGCATTTGTTTATCTCTCTGAGTTTGAAGTTTTTCTCTTTTGGACTTGATTTAATAGAAAGAAAAAAATGAGTTTTTGTTCTCTCTCTCTCAGTGTCTCTTTTTTAATATTGCATCCCGGCTTCATCCCGGCTTTCTTCCACAGTCCAAAAACAAGCATGTTCTAAAGTGACCTGTCCAGGGCGTACCCCCATCTCTTGCCCAGCAAAAAGCTCTCCAAGTCTCCAACCCCCCCATTGGAGTTTATAGAATGCAATGATTGAGCTCACGTACTGTGATAGGAACAAAAATTTAGTTCTCAGCTTGGATGTGTCTCTCGCTTGAAATGCCTTCAGTTCTGGAGCCTCGGTAATTTGTTTTGTTGTGACATTGTGCGGAATGAGATAGTCATACACAGACATATTGCTTGCAAAGGTTGTGACAGTTTGTACCAGGTTTCTGCAGCTTTGGGTGATAAAGCAGCCCTCGGTGATAAAGTGAAGTGTACCCCATCAAGTGTGGAATTTCAACAACTCTGTGAAATCGTATTTGTTCAGCAAAATAGCAAGACAAATACTAGAAAATGACAGTGACAACAAGACTATGTTTGGTCGGCTAGCAGACACAGTTGCCACCGGAAAGTTTGTGTCTTAAGCTAAACCTTTACCGCAGCAAAATGTTGACTTGCCTAACTGCGATCTGCCAGCTTAGACATTTTTAGTAAATGTTTGCAACTTTCTTACTTTGACAAACCAA